AATTTTTATCAGATTTTTATTTTGATTAGCTATGTATTTTTCGTTTAGTCATTATACACTATCAGACGTTTATCATAGGTATCTTAATAAAAATTAAAAATTCGTAATATCAAATTCCAAAATTGTAAAATTTCTTTACATCGCAAGAGCTTTGTCCAAAATAACTTTCTTATATCAAGGGGACCAAAATACATTTAATTTTTAGATACATCACGAGATTTTTATAGGAACCACTGTTTCATTCGTTATATTGAGATTTTCGTTATATCAAGTTATACTGCGAGTTTACTGTAATATATAATATAATTATAAAAATACTATTAAAAAAATAATTTCAATAATATTATAGTAATAGCAAATACTATAGATGAGAATACGGGAAGCTCGTCGATTTTCTGTGAGATATTTTAACGCTAAATAATATAAAAGGTTACCTATACAAACCCCTTAGAAATATATATGGCGTTCAATTGTTGATTAAAATTAGAATCTATAGATGGCTGATAGTAAAATAATACATTATAAATATATTATAATTTACTTTGGTATTAATGAAATTTAAAATATTGATTACCTACTTAATTTAAAATTGTTTTAAATTTATTTTATTATGTTTACTATCACTAAAGTATAATTACTTATACTTTTTGACCTTTTTGTTGACCTGTTGAGAAACAAGGTTTGCTTGTCGTTTCTATAATAATTTAATTCGGATATCAAGTTTTAAAATGTCAGCTATAATGATAGGTACTCATATCTAGTAATCGTGAACAAATGATTGTAATACAAATTATAAGAACTCTATATAAATAGGTACAAAGAAGGGTATAGGTATAGTTATTTACTAAGAAACAGGAAACATTATAAATATTGATAAATCAACGCTTATTTTCGTGATGTTTTTAATAATATTTATGAATAATAACTAAAGAAATTTGAACTATAACATTATTATAACAAAAAAGATAGACAAACTTCGTGCGACGGGGGGGAGGTCACTGTTATAGCCTTATGGGTGAGAGTTTGAGAAGGTAGGATATAGAACGGAATTTAATTTATAATTATATCGAAACTCAACGATTAATCGTTGCTAACGAAAAACGATTCGGAACGAAGTTCAGTTGTGCATGTTTTAAAAGGCCGTGATATTTACGATTTTTATCAAAATTAGATATTAAAATTATTATAAAAAAAATTGGAACTACATTAAAATTAATTTATTTTAAAATTACAAAATTTTACTTATTATGAACCATTTGTTGAATTTTGAATTACTCCTGTTTAGCCTAATTAGCCTAACAATATTATCTACAGAGTTCCTATTAAATACAAATTACGTAAAAACTATCAAAATAAAACTGTTTATAGATCAAACGTTTTAAAAATATCACCACGTCTATGTATAAGTGTTCTATATACATAATAATATTACATACTTTTTAAAAAAAAGTAAATATTTATATCTGAAATCGGATTCTGATATTATTATAAATGTGCTTAATTGTTTCACTATTTTGTATAGAACAATAATGTATACAAATATAGTTCATATTTTATTTTTAAATAATTTGTATTATACAAAAAAATTCAAGTAATAAGGAATAAAGGGCGAATTGGCAACTATTATAGTGATAATAAAATATTACAACTTAAAAATATGTTACCGCTACTGAAAAAACGTCATAATTAAACATCTCCAATATAATTTGTAATAAAAGCAATATTTTCTTCAATCTAAGGCGCAAAATATAGGCAAATTAATCTCAATCTCGGGAGGCAACAATAAGACTTTTTTCGCCATTTATTTGTAAAGTGTCCCGTAATATAATTTACAGAATTCGATAGCAATCATAGCTCAAGACACAACTTTGGTCACTTTCGATAATGTAGACAGCAAACTAACGAATACACTAAAAATTATGAATTTATGACAGTAGTATTTAATTAATAACTAACCCAAACAAATAACAGGTATTTTGCTTCTACCTATACGGAATCGTGACGTTATGAAACGTTTTAATATAGAATATCTTGGAAAAGTATTGCAGAACATGATAACCCTGACCATCCTGTGTATTTAGGCGTCACCTTAAATAGAACACTGATATACAAACTCCATTTAAGTCAATAATTTCTGTGACGTAATGGTTATTTTTTTGAGTGAGAATCTCGAGGTATATAGTTCAGATTCGATAGGTCTACAGAATTTTTACACTTTTTTTTCAAAAATATTCTTCGATTTTTCCGAGTTAAAAATAAGAAGTTTTCTCCTGTACTACCCGGCGCGGTTTTGTACTCTTATAAAAAATCAAGGTAACGCGTACCGTAGCACAAAAATAAAAAATAATCTGGCTAATAATTTGAACATTGCCAACTATTTTTTAAAACGATAAAATACTTTGAAATAACCAATACAAAACCAAATGAATCGGAGGGGGGGGGCGTGCCTACAGTGCTTCTCCCCTTGCTACGGCAATAGTGTCCGTTATTCAGAATAGGTTTACTTTGGAATTAAATGTTAACTGTCAACACATTTATGTGTAATCCTATAACTGATAACTAATTTTCAGGAGGGGGAGAGTAGGATTTTTGTTGAGGAATATTTGATGACATTTGCTTTTTATTGTAATTTTTTTAATTTTTTTAAATTTTTTTTTTTTGGAAGGGGGGTATTGAGGGGGCGGTGGTTGGTCGCAATTTTTAACTCCACCACCTCCTCCTCTAAAAAAAATTTCACTGGTTATAAATATTTCTACTAAAATTATTTTACAAGCTGCAGATTATAGCCTTATACATTGTGTACTGCAATAGTCGTTTGTCAAATTGCTAGGTTTCGGCGGCGAAACGGTCGCGGCGAGGTGTCCTAGACTCACAATTAGTGGTGTTTCGTTATGTTTATAGTTGAACGTATTACGCTAGATACATATAAATATATATACAACTATGCAGGGTCGGTTCTAGACAAAATGTTTACGTAAGCAAAATCCAAATTTGCCGCCCTTTTGTTTTGTATCTCTCTATTTACCACTTAACCATACCAGTATAATAAGAATGTTCGTAAAAAATGAGCGTTGTTTTAAATAGTTGAAATTGACTATACTTTGTTTAGTTATTGACTATTATTGCAATACAATAAATTATAACACCGTGAGTTTATACTACGTGCCTATTATTTTTAGACAGTGAACACTCGTTTACCATTTAAAATCACTAGATCGAATACCTTATATAATGTGCTTTAAATAATTATTGAAAGCGCAAAGCATTTTGAGAGCATTGAAGCATTGACAGCATTTTTGATAATTATTATCGAAAAATAATAATACCTATTACTAGGTATCATATACACATACTAATAATACAGATACAAATATAAAATAATATACATAAAATATGGTCAATATGGTATAACATAAGAGGTACCTGTAAGTTTTCAGCTACTGCTTTCTGTAAACATGTTCAACAGGGTCTCGGGCCGCGAAAGAGTGACGGACAAAGAGCAAATAATATTATTGAAATCAAGCATAATACACATATTATTATGTACGGCTGCTACACATCCATAATAATTGTCCACGTGAAAACCAATTATTTTAATGAAATAATCTAATTTGTGTAGAAAAGGATCAACTGCAGTTAACGTTCTTATACTCCGTGGTAAATATATCGCGTGTAATATACATTTGAACTTTTAATAATTCTGGTTTAAACATATACCTACGTAGTTGGTGTTTGCTTATTATAATTTATAATATATTAATGTTAATTTTAATTTCAGTGTATTTTACTTATACGTATACCGTTTCAACTGACGCTAAATTTAGTCAATCGCCGGATATCAGATATTATTTAAAATGTAAATTGAATAACATTAACTTTTTTTCTTTTTTTTTGCTCATCAATCTTTCGTAACGGGTTTTCGGTTTTAACGCTTATTTAGAGATCAATACATTGAAAATAGAGTCATGCTCACATAAATTTTATTTTCGATTTTTTCCAATAATTTCGAAAACTCCTTGGAAAATGAAAAAATATTCTCCTCAATACATCAACTACAAACAATTACCTTTCAGAAAAGATGCTATAGTATATACTTCAGTATAGCAAGTTTTCTAGTAAAAAAGTTGTCTACAGAAAAAAAAGGCCATAATATTTCATTAATATATTTCGTACATTTTCTCGTTTTCTGGTTTTTCCCAATTTCCAATTTATTGGAAAAAATCCAGGGAAAATCAATAAATGGTCTTCTTTAAATACCTCCTTAGTCATCAGAAAGCCTTTCAGAAAAAAATGCTATCATTATAAGTCGGAAAAAAACTTCTGGTAGAAAACCAGTAGATCCGCCGCTACGCTCCCAACCTAAAAGTTAAATATAACGGGAACTATTATTGAATTTATTTTTCTATGTTTTTCCAACGATTATGAAAACTACAAAGAAAATCAAAAAAATGTTCTACTCTATGTACCAACTAGACAACATTGTATACCGGAAACCATTCATGCAGCTTTAATTGTTTACTATGGATAGAAACAAAATATTTTTTCCCAAAACAAAACTGTAATTAAAAAGTAAAAAAAATTTAAAAAGTTAATCGTATTATTCTTTGGATAAAATATGATTTCCTATGTGTAGAAAATATATCGTGTACAATAATTAAATCTATATTATACAGTAGATAAAATATTTTTAAAAAAAATAATCTAAAAAAAATTCAATGTTTGTATGTGCAGCTGCTCATATTCAAATGGGTTGAACCTAAAATTAATGAGTTAAAACTGGTATCATACAAAAACAGATTCCGGAAACTTGTGAATTGTAGTAGGTACATTTAAACAGTTATCCACTTAAGGATTATCTATAATTCCATTAGAGAATCTATATATGTATGTACATATTGATAAATAATAATAATAATAGACAGAAACATTTACCCAAACATGTTGTAATAATATTATTGTTAGGTATCCATTTCACATAAAGAAACAAAATAATTTTAAGTATTTTCGAGCTTTATTGTACTCAGGTAATATAATGTATTCATGTGTAGTTTCGATAAAACTTTAATGGAAATAAACAGTATAATACGGAGATTAGATTGTATTAAATTCAATTAATTTTAAAAATTTTAAAAATTGGAAGTATGCAAATTAAAATAATCCAATGGTGGAGTATCATTTTTAATATAATAAGCACCTACTAAGTGTGAGTGTTTAAATCATTTCAGACTTTACAATACTATATTTAAATATACGGATGAGACTAATGTAAAAAAAAAAAAAATTAAATATTAGGCAACATTGGATACACAAATGTCGTTATAGTATCTCGGCTAATTAAATTTTCGGCTACACAAATGTATTCGCCCATATCTGACCAGCTTAAATTGTTCAAAACCAATTCTCCTTCAGGCCCTAACTGTAAGTATCACAATACAATATTATCATGTAATTCTAGTGCAGTCAAATAATTTTAAAAGGAATTATTTACTTTGCGTCGTAGATCGTTGTTGATATCTATTATATTTCCAAAGTTGTCCTTCCAGTATCTTCTGTACGAGACACTGTTGGCCACTTCGCAGGGTATAATTACAGTTGAACCCATCAGTTGACTAATGATTGGACTCCATTTTGTTATCCTAGTTTCTCCCTGGGAACAACGAACTGATTCACCTACAAATAATATATTTGAATACCATTTACATCGAATAATAACATACATTATAAATAGGTACCTAGTATAATGTAAAATAATAGCAAACAGTTTTTGTTAAAAATGTAAATAATTTATAAATCGTACCTTCAACTAAAATTTTTACAGGAGCACTTGTCATTATCTGATCTCTAGCCTGGCCAATACAAGTGTAAACACTTTGATGGTGTGGTTTAATACAATCTATGACTTTTCTTACTGTCACCTTGCCCACACCCTGAAAGTCACTTAACTCTTCAAATTCGCTCGAACCTAATGTGATCTAAATACAGAATTATTCAGTTTATTGGTTATAAAAAAAAAAAAACACAGTATAAAACTACTACACAATATAAGATTGTAGCACTTGTTTGGGTATTATAAAACCAACAAATTAATTTGATTATAATACAATTGTATAGCATACATATTATAGAATTATAAGCAGTTACATTTTTATTTTAGTTATGATTACAGTTATCTACTGATAGGTAACCGTGATTATTATTTTAGATTATAAGCTGAGCAAGGAATTTATAGTTATTAGTTTCATTTTTTTGATTTTGTTACCAGGAATCTCGGCATCAAAAAATGACTAGAATTAAAAATACATTTTTTTGTTTTGTTTTGGGTCTAGTCGGTGTATTAAAAAATTCATTGTTTTTGATTTCTTAAGCAGTTTGTATAATAATTCTGTAAAACCCGAGAAAAATACAGAAAAAAAGGTACGAATAATTACAGTGCACTTTGCCTATTTAGTTATTTTAAATTTGTAGGATTTATGTTTTCTAATGAAAATATTGCTCTAATCAAGTAAGACGAGAAACCTACAACAATGGCATACCCATAGGCAGTATAAGATCTTGTATTATTTAAAAAAACTAATACAAATACTTAAATAAATCTTAGTTACCTGATTGAGATACGTCCCAGGAACCCATTTTGCTTGTGGCACAGGACTTCCAAAAACTGTACATTCAAGTTCAACTCTTCCACCCGGAGGAACTCTAATTGTGTCTGAAAGTGTATTCACTATTACCCAATCTTTTGCTTCTAATTGTTCTATACTCTGCTCACTACCTAAAAAAATTGCATGCAATTAAAATCAAATTTAAATCCTTGAGGCTTCATAGTGACATATGAATAAAAAGATTATCATGAATTATGATAGTGATTCAATTGAATCAAATTTATAATAAATTATATTTAAAATAATTATACTACTAATTATTATATACATTACTAACCTGTAGGTCAGTAATTCAAAATGATTTACAAATACACATTCTTATAATAATTATTAACCTTTTCCGATGTGATGTTCCGTGAAAACGATATTCTTTAGCGTCATTTAAAATTGGATTATCTTATTAAAAGTGCTAACATATTTTTCAAAGGTAATGTAGACTACATTAAGCACTTTACAAAAATCATAAAATGAAAAATGGAACTCTAATATTATTCGAGATTTAAGTTTTCCTATAAAACACTTATTAAAATACTTTTCAGGCTTAGTGTAGTGAACGTGAACGCATTTACAATTTTAGCGATTCAAACACTGATTATTATTAAAAGTTGATAACTATGTTTTTACAAATATATAACTATACTGGATAGCCGACTTGATATTATCATTCTACATAATTATGAAATTATCCGCCATTTATAAAGTAATCCGTGTTGATAAAAAATCAGTATCAATTGTGTTTAAATATTATGAAAACTAAAAAGACGGACATACTTCACACTATGGGTGCAGCCTTCTTGAGGAGTAGTTGTGAAAGGAGGATGTAGAGGGGAAATTAATTTATATCTGTAAGCAACGATAAACCATTGCTTACGAAAAAACAATTCTGAGCAGAGTTCAGTTGATAATGATGCTTCGTCAACAATATTATAGTGATGCCATATTATAGTAAAATAATTAAATAGGCTCTATATATTTCCTTTAATAATATTTGTTTAATGTTGTACCGATTTACCCGGTTATCTTACGTTTTTTCCGGTTTTCCCATGATTTTTCCCAGTTTTGCACAATTGCTTGCTGGTAGAAAAGTTGTCCAAAGAAAAAAAAAATATCGTAATATTATACAAATATATTTCGAAAATTGTCCCATTTTATTTCGGTTTTTCACATTTGATTGGAAAAATCTTGAGTAAATCGAAAAATAAGCTCTTCTACAAGTAAAATTTGGAGCAAATAATCTGGTACAAAAGTTGTCCTCAAAGATCTTTATAAAACTATAAACTTATATGCTCCACTTAGAATCTAAAATAATTAAATAGGTATTATATATTTCCTTCAATAATATTTGTTTAATATTGTACAGATTTGTCCGTTTTTCCTACGTTTTTCACGGTTTTTCACGATTGCTAGAAAAACTCTTGAGAAAACCAAATAATAATTTTCCTTAAGTACCTCCCCAGTCAGAAAAAGTGCTATCATTGTAAATCGGAGTAAAATTGCTGGTAGTAAAGTTGTTAACAGGAAAAAAGAAGGCCGTAATATTTTTTAACTATATCTACATTACGTACGTTTCCCGTTTTTTCTCTATTTTTTTAGTTATTCACATTTGTTGGGAAAATTCATGGGAAAATCGAAAAATAACCTCTTTAAAGTACCTCCTCAGTTAGGTTTATTTTTAGAAAAAGTTCTTTTATTGTAAATCCGACCAAAATTTCTGATAAAAAAGTTCTTCACAGAAGAAAAAAAATAAACACTATTGTAAAACCAATACATTCCTCGTTCCACTCTGAATCTTTATGCCAGAAATTTTACTCCGATTTTCAAGTGTAACACTTTTCTGAAAGGAAATCTGACTTGGGGGGATACTTTAAGGAGGTCATTTTTTTGATTTTCCAAGGAGTTAAATTATGAAAATTCTGAAGTTGAAAATTTTAGCGATGATGATTCTGACAACGATAGAATATGGTATCTGTTGTCCGTGCATAATGTTGTTGGCCAATTAGATGATTTTGAATTTTGATCCGGATAATGAAAGTGAGATTACTTAACAATATTATTAATTCGAGTAATAGTGACGAAAATCAACTTAATATTTCTACTATTGTTTTTGAGACACCTGAAGTACAGGTAATAGATATACATCTACAGGTATTAGATATACATTTAATGCTCTTGAATATGTTTTGATTATAAATAATATACAAAAAGTTTTGAAGATAGCACCTTATACAAATATGATTGCATTTAGTACAAAAGGAAAAGTGTTAAATACTTATGAGAAAGAAGTACAAATTTACTCTGGTACCCAGGCAATGATGGATGTAACTAAATATTCACGTTCACATATTTTATTGACAAAGAAGTATTGCATTGGATATTATAGTAAGTTCAATTACGTATGGGAAGAGTTTAAAAGAAGTTATAATAAAATGACTGCTGTTAAATATAAGGACAATAAATGTGTTCCGTTATTATCAACAGCTACAGGAGCTAAACCTCATTGTATCGTGAAAAGATGGAGTAAAGTTGAACAAAAATAAATACAAGTAACTTGTCTTGCAGTTATGGAAATTTACAATAAAAATATGGGAGGAGTAGATTTGTGCCATCAACAAATAGAAACATATCGTACCTTGATGAAATCAAAAAAATATACAATATAAATTGCTATTAATTTTATTGATTTATCAATTGTAAATTCTTTCCAAAATTTATAGAAATAAAAAATAAATTTACTTATTAAGTAATTTAAAAAAAATAAAATTCCATCCATTAATGATATTTTTAATACAGGTTCTCATTAGAAAAACCAAAGTTGACCAAACATTAAACCACAGGATACTCCTTAAATGCTGTGAAAAATCTAAGTATTCGAAAATATCGGCTAAACTACTCTTAAAAATTCCAAAAATCAAAATTCGAAAATTTTCGAAATTTAACGAAAAAATATTATTGTATTGTAGAGCTGTTAATTTGTACATGGACAATTTTTTTGTTTATATATTATTATTTTTTAATTATTCTAACTTTTTGAATATATATTTCAAATTATATAAGTAATCAGTTTTGAAAATATTACTTTGCTGTTTAAAGAGCGAAAGATCTATTGGTGATCTATACAAATCACATCTATGATGTGTATTTTTTTTTTTTTTTTTTTTTTTGTGATCAACTTTTCTACCAGAATTCTTGCTTTTAGTTACCAAGTGTAGCACCTATTCCGAAAGGAAATTTTATCTAGTTGGTGCATTAAGAAGTCATTTGTTGATTTTCCAAAGGGTTTTCAAAATAATTGGGTAAAACTGTGAACAAAATTATAAGTGTATTTATAACCGAATTACAGCAAAAAACTCTTAAAAATTTAAATTCCTTAAAAGCTCAAATATGGCTCAAAAGTTTTAGCTATGATACCGAAAAAAATAAATCAAAAATGCTAAAAATAAGGTATCTTGTGATTTTTCGATCAAATCATTTTTTCTGTTAGAAAACGTCGTCCTTATTTTGATAAAATAATGAAATCGTGAAATTGAACGTTTTCCTATGTTTTTTCCCACATAAGTGCTTTTATTTAAAAATTGCGTTGAAAATCAAAAAATAACATCTCCAAAGTACAATCTAGACAACATAAGCTTTCAGAAAAGTTGCTACACGTAAAATCAGAGCAAGTTTATTAGGTCAAAATGAGTCTACAGATGAGAAGAAAGAAAAAAAAAGAGAAAAAATCATCATCTTAGTAAAACCATTAGTTCCGTAGCAAAAATCGAGATCTAAAACTTAAATAATATAAATTTTATAATAGGTACTTTCATTTTAAAATCAAAATTAGTCTAATTTTACTTATTCTTATTGGCTTGATAATAAATTATTTAAATTAAATATATTTCACACCAACTAACCATTGGTCGGAGATTCTTCTAGTGAGTTCTGAAACAAAAAAAAAAACCAAACCTTATTTAATAATTAATACATTTTTATTAAATTTAAATGTTGAACTATTTGCGATGTACATAGAGATAATATATTAGAAACCTGTGAAATATGATGGAATTAACACCAATAACAAGTTATTGTTAAGAACCAAAGGATTTAATGGTTAGGTCACTTAACGTAATGTGATAAGATAATACTATGAAGTAGGAAATTCAGAGAAGAAGATCTAAAGGATGATTCGGGAATACATTAACGTGATAGAAGAAGATTTGGAGAGCCCGGGAATCGAAAACTGGAGAAAGGTTATTCGAGATAGAGGTATGTGTCGAAGGATATTCGGAAAAAAAAGCAACGGAAAAAGAAAGTAAAAAAAGCAAGTGGAAAGAAAAGCAAATAAAAAATAAAGCAATTGGTAAAAAAGCAATATATTTATTTTAAATATTATAATGTAAAATGATGTCCTAGGATAATAGAGACGGGTGCAACAACTACTATAGGTAATTTAATGTACATCTGTAAGCAACGATAAACCACTACTAACGAAAAAACGGTTCTGAGCACAGTTTAGTTGATAGTGATTTTTCAATAATAAATATTTCATACTATGGTAAAAAAAAAAATTAAATAGACATTACCTATGTAATTTCTTTAATAATACTTGTTTAATTACTTGTTTTTTCAGGTTTGCTGGGAAAATTCTTGGAAAAATCGAAAAATTACCTCCTAAAGTACCTCCCAGGTCAGATTTCCTTTCAGAAAAAGTATTATCATTTAAAATCCGAACAAAATTGCTAAAAGAAAAATTGTTGACAGAAAAAAAAATCGTATTATTTTTTTATTAATACTTACATTTCGTATATTTTCCATTTTTTCGAGACTTTTTTTTGGTTTTTACCAGATGCTATGAAAGCTGCTTGAAAAGTCAATAAATTACATCCCTAAATTACCATTAAGATAAAATTTTCTTTTAGAAAATAAGCAGCACTTGATAAATCGGAGCAAGATGTCTGGTAGAAATGTCTGTACAACAAATCGAGGGGTATTTTATGATTAAAATAGTCCGCAGAAGCGATGACTTGGGTCTCTAGGTACATGAAAAATTAATTTGTTTTTTTTTATTGTTTAGATAAGAGGGAAAAAATTTAAACAATTTTTTTTGACACATTGGATTGAACTTGGAACTCCTAGGATGATAATAAGCACAAATAACCATTTGATCATGACAAATATTGTCTTTAAGTACAATATACAGTTATTTAGCATAACATATAATATCCCCATAATAATGGAACTTTAAAAAGCTATAATTTAAAAACTTAATCAGTCCTCTTAATTCCGACTTCACCAGCATTCTTAAATAGGCAATATTTCATATGTTCAAAAAAAAAAAATTAAATTTGTTCGACGACACTTTTTCGTCAAAATTTAATATTAAAATTCCCTTATAAAAAAAAAAAAAATACTTCATTAAACTCAACTTTAATTTTTACCACAAAATAAGACTCTTAATGAATCTGCTGTTAAATTTTGAAGCATTTCTGTTCAAGTCTAACAATTTTACCACAGAATACCTACCGAATAAATATTTATAATAAAAAAATAACTCTCAAAATTAAAATGTCTATAAATACCTCAAAAGTAGCTTACTTTTTTGGAACATTTTTACCACGTCTAGAAATGGTATATATAAATTGTCTGTACAGATTTTAAGTCCATAGAGTCAATACGAATATTTGAAACTAAATTTCAACAAAAATATTAAAATCTTTATAAAAAAAACCTAAAGATGATTCAAATGTTTTGAAAATTTTACCTTGTTTAGAAAATTCTAATATAATTTTTTGTTCTAAAATTCAAGTGTCTACGAAAATTTTTACTGAATTACAACAAATAATAAAATTTAAAAATAATAAAAACATTATTTTCATAAATTTATGGTTTTTCTTACGATTTATCCTTGGTTTTTCCTAGATATTATGACCTCTTGGAAAATCAAAAAATGACCTTCTAAAAGTATCATCTGGACAACATTCCCTTTCAAAAATGGTTTAAAAAAATTAAACATCTTAGTAAAACCAATACATTCTTCGCTACACTCAGAATCTAAAAGTAATATTATTCGTTAGTACTGCTTAATATTATATAGTGCCATATAATCGATAACTACACTTTATTTCAATGCCATTGACTATATAATATATTCAATGATAATATTTTAAATGGTTTCACAAAAATAATTATCAGAGCAAATTATCGAAATTTGCAATTATAATTGAAAGTATTAAAAATTACTACTATTGTAGTGCAAGTACAAAATATATACAAATTTACTTAAAACAAATATATGGCTATAGCATAATATAATGAAATAAATAAATGATTTAAATATTTTTGTCTCAAAATAAGAATAGTTGGAAACAAGAAATTTGAATTTTGAGTATGTTTTATAATTTCGATTATGGACTATAGATTCGATAACTTACTCTGATTAATTATTTTTGTGAAAATGTTTAAAAAATTATCATTAAATATATTATAATAATATAGTCAATAGTATTAAAATATTGCGTAGGTACTATGGTACCATATAGATGGTGTATGGTACTATATAATATGTAGTACTAACTAATGATATTTGTTTTCATATTATAATGTGTAAAATAAATACATTGCTTTTTTTCATTCGCGTTTTTTTCCTAAACTCGTGTCGAAGTGTAGCAATGGTAGCAAGCATGTTTATATAGTAATCATGTCATTATAAGAAGGGAATACATTTACAAATTGTTTTAATATTCTTAAAATAATAAATATATATATATATATATATAGATTTACAATACATTATACAAATGTTATATACAATATATGTATACGTTACATATGTTATCTACATTAATTGTGCATAGTTAATATTATATTTTAAAAGAAAATTAATTTTATCTATTTATATTTGCATTCTAGTATGTATAGTATAGTACTATAGTACATATTGAATAATACATAATATCAATAAAAATTTATCATTGTTAAGGTATAAATGTGGTAGATAATATATATTCAGATATTATTATAACACATCAATTGTATAATCTTAGACTGAAAGATACGCATATACGTATATTTTTTCACAGTAAAACCACGATAAATAACTTACTTCAGTAATGTGATTTGATGGCAAAACTGCAGCAAATCCAATAGTATTGATGTAAAATAACCAAAAAAGTCCCAATAATGCAAGTGAATTTCTCATATTGTCGTCGGTTTCTGTAGGTTTTTTGTTTTTTTTTTTTAACTGAAATTGATAAATATTTTATTTATCATTACAGAAGTGTCAAACAGCCAAAACGTAAATCAATATTATAATTTTATATTTGTACATTTAACTTTTATAATTTTATATTATTTTACGTGTATACTATTTACAAAAGTACATAAATACAAATAATATCATTGAAATTTAACAAATATATTAATGTATATATAAATGTATACAATCTACATACCTAATATTTATTTATTGATTTATTTTTGTGAATGTTGAATTTTCTGAACAATTTTCAATTTTGGAATTTACCCGGAAAAAAAAAAGGAATATTGCATTGTATCATGTCTATTATTTATAAATATAACGTAGGATAAACGGGAAAATTTACGAAATGTATTATTCTCAAATTGTAAATATTACGGCCTATCAAAACATTTATAATTGATCTCCACTCAAAATCGTCTCTCGTTAGCAATGGTTTATCGTTGCTTACGGGTAAAAATTAAATAATTTAATGTATCCTATCTCCTCATTTTGCCACCTACAACAGTGAAACACCCGCTTCCAGTATCAGCACTTTTTATTTATTGACTTTACAAAATGTTCAAAATTGTACAAAAGCTATTAATCTAAAAATTTGAAATGGACCATTACAGTGGTCCAAATTAGTGGTTTTAATTGAATGAAAAAGAAAAAAAAAACGAATAAATTTACGGCGTACGATTTCGTCGTTTTTGATTTTTTGCTTTATGTTTTTTTACCAGAAATACTGCTTTAATCATAAAACGACAAAAAACCTTTATGGTAGCATTTGGTATTTAGTTTGTGAGTATAAACATTTTTTTTATTTTCCGTAAAGTTTTGTTGATATTTGATCGGGAAAAAACATAGAAAGAATGGGGAAGTTTACGGAAATAATAGTTTCATTATTTTCAATTATGGATTTACTCTGTTGGGTTCTTTTTCATGTCTACAAACAACTTTTCTTCAAACTTGTTCCAATGTATAGAGTGCAGCATTTTTTGTTAAAAGAAATTTTAACTAGTTGGTACATTAGAGAGATCATTTTTTGGTTTTTTAAGAAGAATTGAATAAAACCGAAAAAAAAATGTAGAAAAAACAGGGAAAATTACGAATATAATGCTTTAATGAAAGCATTATAACGATAACTTTCAATTTTGTTGTAATTTTGACAGAAATCTTATATTTGCATTTTCTAGAGGTGATAACATTTTCATAAATATAAAAATATTTTTGAACTATTTATAAGTATTTAAAATTGTCTTATGTTTTTTATTGGTAGGTACTCTATTGATAAAATTGTTGGTCTAATCAGAAATCTTGAAAATTTGATAAAAAGTTCATTATAAGTTGTACTTATGGTAAAAAAATTAAAAAATTGAGTTTATAGTTGTATTATTTTTGTACGAGTTTTAAGATCAAATTTTGATGAAATCGTTAATATTATGAGTTTATGATCTTTCAAAACATGTAAAATCGAATGTCGTTCTGAATCGCTTTTCGTTAGCAATGGTTTGCTTACACGTATAAATTAAATAACTTTATGTATCCCTTCCCAACTTTCCACCAACAACAGTGGCAAACTCGTTCCTAGTAACAGTTCTTTTAAAAAAAAATTGTTTGTCGATTGTGCATTTTGATTTGTCTATATACGTTAATCGTATGGCGGTTAGTTCCCGAACCTGCCAACTCATTAGGTATTAATTAAATACCTATATTATAACAGTAGGTAAATTGTTTCGAAAAAAAAAAATTAAAAACTACCTATTTTAACTCGAGAAAAATGTTAATATTTTCAAATATTTTAATAACCTTTAATAATAACATATACCTACGGATATAAGTTAATGTTTATGAACATCATAATTTATCACTTAAATAAATGCGTGTAAGTAATGTTTACTTGTAAAAATTAATAATTGAACGAATCGTAAAATAATTTTAAAAATTGTATTAATTACTCAACTCGGCAAACTAAAATTGTCCGCGTGATTAATTAAGACTAATTAAGTCCGCGTCTTTGACATTTAAACAACTAAATGCGAACGATTATTTCGAAGAACGTTAAAAACGTTGAAAATAAATAATGTAAGACACATTAATTGTCTAATTCTTTATTGCTCTACAACTCTACAAATTTAAATAATTATTCTCGCGTAAAATAATTACGTACCTATCTATTTACTAACATGAATGTGTATAGTGTAATAGGTACTTACGTGTGCTGTTTCGGGAATTCGATATTGTCCGTGTATCTACTGTGGTAGATTCGATCGGATGACAAATCGTAATGGTCCGGCTATCGGTCCCTGTATGGTTTATAAACCGTGACGGTCGCAATTACAACAGCCTTTGCTTTTGCGTCAGATCAAAAAACTATACACACACACACACACACACACTATAAATCATTATTAATAATAATTATTAGACGTCTCGATAACGACGAGAGACGTAAATGTGATATGATTAAACCCCACCCCCCGTGGGTTCTTGACAGGATATTAAAAATCGACATTGTATTTATTGGCTGTATTGTGGATTTCACACTGTTGCGGCAGTCGTCTTCACGGGCGTTGACGGTCTAACGTCCTATATACTCTGTACAACAATAATTATTATTAGATACATCGTCTTGTCGGTAGATTATATTTGTAATAAAACTAATAGAACATACAAATTCTTAAATGACGCTGATAATAATAATACATTGACTTCGCGTCGAAAAAATGTTTTATAATCAATTTAAAATAAAACATATATATTTGTGAAACACAAACAATTATTATATTATCACAAGCGGAATAACACAATATTACAATACATTTATATATATAGTATATTATATACAATATAAATTGAACGTTGGACGGCTAGGAATTACGTGGAGATCAATGTTTGTACAAGAAAAAAAATAAATAAATATTAGTACCATTATTGTAACATGACATCATTTTAATTGAACTAAACCGAACGTCAAAGCCAATTTAATCGGGGGGGGGGGGGGGGGGGNGGGGGGGTGGGAGAAGGGTTGTTTTCACAAAATATATAACATTATTATTAAGTATTTTGTTTTCTTACAATACATTTTGCGAATAGATGATACGTACAACGCAGTAAACAATGTAATACTTTCGAACATACAAGTATATATCATGTATTATACATTGTCAAATCGTTTAAGTAAAACATCCATATTCATTATAGACTAACACGGAAATCGAACGACAATTTTTTACACCGTGTGGTGTTCGCGGTAAAATTTAATTCAGAACCAATTATAATTTTATATGTATAATATATATAATTGTCTGTTATAATATTACGTTATAATAATACCACTTAGTTTTAGGCATCGCTGCAATATCTACGTCGTTTTCAGACGACAGCCAAGAAAGATATTGAACGCATTTTGGTAAAATTTAATGGGCAGCCCAAGTGTTCAAACACAAATAAGTGTAAGTGTACTTGTAAGTCGATCCTGATACATAACTATTATTATTCGTTTATTTCTCAAAAAAATAATACTGGGCCTCACTGACTATTCCAGGTGTTATTATATTAACATGTGTTTAATTATAAAAATAACATTATATGATAATACAATATATATTATATAACGACTATACCAATAGGTTAGAAATCAGACATAATCTTTACTATGGATAGGTCACTGTTGAAAGGAGAGAGTTGGATACAAAGTTCGGTAAATAAATCTTTTAATAAATTTAGATTAAAAATGCTGTCCTAGGACAATGGGGATTGGTGCAGTCACTTTGTAGGTGGAAAGTTGGAAAGGGAGTATATAGAAGGGAATTTAATTAATATATTTAAGCAGAGATAAACCATTACTCACGAAAAAACGATTCTGAGTGAAGTTCAGTTGATAGTGATGCTTTGTCAACAATATATATGTCATATTATTGTATAATAATTGAATAGGTATTATATATTTTCTTCAATAATATGTGTTCAATATTGTACCGATTTTCCCGTGTTTCTACGTTTTTTACGATTTTCCCAAGTTTTTCCAGGTTTTTCACACTTATGAGAAAACTTCTACGAAAAATCAAAAAATGACATCATTAAAATGCCTCCTCAGTCGAATTTACTTTAGAAATAATTGCTATCATTGTAAATTAAAGCAAAAATTACTGGTAGAAAATTTGTCCATAAAAAAAAATTAAATATATATTACTAATATTTTGCTAATATATTTTAATAATAAATGCTAATAAATTTTGCGGTTTTCCTTAGGTTTTTTTTTCGGTTTTTCGCATTTGATGAGAAAATTTAAAAATAAGCTTCTTAAAGTACCTCCTCAAACCGATTTTCTTTTAGAAAAGGAGCTACATATAAAAATCGGAGCAAGATCTCCGGTAGAAAAGTTGTCCATGGAACAAAAAAAAATTAAAAAAATAATTTAACATAACATATGATAATATCCGTATAATATCACATCTTCAAAAAGCTATAATTTAAAAACTTAATCAGTCCTCTTAATTCCGACTTCACCAGCATTCTTAAATAGGCAATATCCCATATGTTCAAAAAAAAAAAAATTAAATTTGTTCGACGACACCTTTTCGTCAAAATTTTATATTATAATTCCCTTATAAAAAAAAAAAATACTTCATTAAACTCAACTTTAATTTTTACCACAAAGTAAGACTCTTAATGAATCTGCTGTTAAATTTTGAAGCATGTCTATTCAAGTCTAACAATTTTACAACAGAGTACCTATCGAATATATATTAATAATAAAAAAATAACTCTCAAAATTAAAATGTCTATAAATACCTCAAAAATGGTTTAAATTTTTGAAAATTTTACCACGTCTAAAAATGTTATATATAACTTGTCTGTGCAGATTTTAAGTTCATCGAGTCAATACGAATATTTGAAACTGAATTTCAACAAAAATATCAAAATGTTTATAAAAGAAACCTAAAAATGACTCAAATGTTTTGAAAATTTTACCTTGTTTGGAAAATTCTAATATAATATTTTGATTTAAAATTCAAGTGTCTACGAAAATTTTTACTGAATTACAACAAATAACAAAATTGAAAAATAATAAAAGCATTATTTTCGTAAATGTATGGTTTCTTTTTCGTTTTATCCTGGATATCCTTTTCCTTGATATTATGAATATCGCTTGGAAAATCAAAAAATGACCTTCTAAAGAAAATATATAATGCGTGAGTTTTAACATAATATGACATATACATTTTTTTATGATATAGTTAGTACCAACATTAATATTTTTATAATATATATATATTATAAAATCAATGATTTTTTTTGAAGCATTTCTCCCAAGGCAGTCTTTATCTGCTCAAGGCAGTGAAAAGATTCTTCGATTTCAATAATTTTAAAACAATAACCCGATGATACATAAGTATGGATGTATAAGTGTGAATATATAGATATATTATTACTATACAATTAAATTTTTTACCTACATACTTTTACAATTTTTAACACATTATATGTATGTATTTTTGACGGGTACTTAGGGTACCTATTAATGGAGCCAGATGCATTTTTGATCTTTTCGTATTGCCCAATTATAATTCTTTGACAGTTAGAATAAGTTTAAGTCATGGACCGATCGTTTTACGGATGTCCTGGGGTAGTTGAAAATAAAAAAAAGTTTAGTATATAGTATACAGAAATAAAATAAGCGTTGTAAATTTTGCCTGAAATAATTTTTCTTTCAATATTTGAATGTACAATAATAATAATAGTAATATTGTACTATACTTCATCGACTTGTGCCACCTAGGCTTTACTGAAACATTACAAACAGGTCGTCTCTAAAGCGAAATATACTTTATGTTTTGAGTACCTAAGTATTATAAAATCGAAAAAAAAAATCAAAATTCAATGTATACTTGCGTATATAATGATTTTATTAGGCGTTTGGGCTATACATTTGGAATATAGGTAAATAAACTGCAGTGTGATACATTAGTACATATAATAATATAATATGCAATAGACCGCATGGGTGGCCAAACCTTTTTCTATACTGTGTCAAATAAAATTTAAAAAATTAAGAATATTGCCATACAAAATTTTCCTTTCTACAAATAAAAAATTTCCTATCCATTCTGTACAAAAAATACGTGGGAAATCTCATCCTTTATAACTTTGTTTTATGCATAAACCCGATGTACTTGGTTTATTAGATGCCATTTTCATGATTACACACATTACGATGCAAACTACTCGTTAAGGGGATTTGAAGCGACAAGTTTCTGTCTTTGTCTTACAAATATGAGGTATAGCGATTTAGACGTGTTTTATTTCTAATATACCAATTGATATAGTGAAACGATAAGAATTCTGATAGCAGGTTTGAATTTTTCGCGAAGTTTATTTGAGATCAACTTTCCTATTCTTTTGATTTTTGATCTTAATTTCTTAAAAAATTTAAATATTTGATTTTTTTAATTACTTTTTTATTAGTATTGCTTTTTTAGAATTTAAGATGATAAATTTAAAAAATGAGAAAGTCAATCTCAAGTAAACTTCACGAGAAATTCAAATCTGCTTTCAGAATTCTTATCGTTTCACTATATCAATCGGTACATTGGAAATAAAACACTCTAAATTCCTATATCTCACGTGTGTAAGACAAAGACAGAAACTCGTCGCTCTCAATCCCCTTAACGCACGGCGATTTTATTATTGTACACATTTTATATTTATTGTATCGTAACCATTCTCTTCTCGGAAAAATAATCGAGAAATTTCATTGCGATAGTAATAATCTAATTTAATTTTATAGATTTACTTAAAATTGGAAATCCTAATTTTAGACATGAGTATTTAAAAATTATAAGTTATTTTATTTAACGCATGCCATTCAATAACATCAAATGTGCTACAAAAGACACGCGTGCCACAGGTTGGCCGCCCCTGCAATAGGGTTTAAAATTACGTTTGTGTATGGTCGTATATTATTATACAGAGTGTCCCACACTTGAAATTACTTTTAGATTCTGAGCAGAATGTATTGGTTTAACAACGATGTTTATTATTTTTTTATCCATGAACAATTTTTTGACCAGCAATTTTGCTCCGATACCAAATGATAGTACTTTTTTTAAAAGGAAATCTGACTTGGGAGGTCCTTTAAGGAGGTAGTTTTTCGAGTTTTCCAGTAGTTTTCAAAATAAATTTAAAAACCGATAAAAACGTAGAAAAAACGGAAAATAGGTACGATATTAAACAAATATTATTAAAGAAAATATATAATGCATAAATTATTATTTTACTATAATCTGACAACAAATATATTGTTGACAAAGCAACACTATCAACCGATCTCAGTATTGTTTTTTTGTTTTTCGTCGTTTTT